GTAAGTAGTGTAACCATTGTAATTATTAGTAGTACGAGCATCGTATGGATGGTATTGTCAGTATAGCCAATATTGTAAATAGTGCAAGTATAGTGAATATGTGAATATTGCTAGTAGTATTTAGTTTTCAGTAGTGTTTAGTACTGTAAACATTTAATATATGTCTGTAAGGCAAAAAATAAATAAATAAATAAATAAATAAAAAAAAATAAAAAAAAAACCAGGAGAAAACTGGCAGAATAAGGAGCTTAGGAGGACAAAATGTTCCCTTTAGCCTGGTAAAAGAACATCTTCCAATGTATCTCAAGATAGTATTTGCTCTTCTTACAAAGTTGCAGTACTCACATGGTAGGGTCCACCACCTGCTTCTTGGGTTGAGCAAAATTGGCTTGAAGGATGGATCAACCCAAAATGATCACACACCTTCATTAATTGGCAATGTCACTCACGGCATAAAGATAAAAGTTATTATTTTACATATATATTTTTCACTAGAAATAAAGACATCGGATGATGGCTATGATGACGATGATGATGATGATGATGATGATGATGATGATAATGATGATGATAAATAAACAAGATACATGTAGTCACAGGTACTATATAATTCCTTTGAAAGGGAAAGTACTTGATTATCTGGGATCAGTACATGTAAATTTAATTCCCTGAAAATAAACTATTGATTCAGTGAGCACCATTTTTTACCTCTTCATCAGGATCACAGTGGTCAATCATTTTGTGTGCTGTGTTTATGTCACCTAGAACTATCACATGCCTACAACAAACACAAACCAACATAAAGATTATGAAAGAGCCACACCACCTGGCAAATCTTGTAGTGCAGGGAGTAAACAAATAAATAAGGGGCCTGAAGGGGACATGCAAGCTGTCAACTTGTTCACATCTCAAGCCAAGATTTCAAGTTGTTGAGATTTCAAGATGTCGAGACTTTGTCAAGATCTGCCTAAACATAGTAGAAAGTGTGTGTAGTCCAAGAAATCCAACTAATTCCTCTCGCCAGTAGTTCAAAAGCTGGAATTAAAGGGTAATGCTATCTACTGGCTGCAGTATCCACTGGATAAAGATCTGTCGGACTGCGAATAACATTATCCACCTATTGAGCAACTACATATGTGGCATAACGTATTCTTTCACAAGCTCGTGCAAGGCACATATTATTGGAGGAAGAATTGAACAGTTGGATTATTAGAAGTCAATTTTTAGTTTCATTCCAGACAATTCATTAGTTCACCTGGAAATGCAGTCCTGAAAAATTAATGGTTCTCCAGGGATGGCAAGGCAAGGTAAAAAATAATAACATTTATTAATAAATATAATGTACCTTCTTCCATTGACAAGTGCCTCAGCTCTTTCTTGCAGCAATTTATAAAATCTTAGCTTAAAGTTCACTCTATCTTTGTTCTCCTTGTCTGCTCTGGGACAATACACATTAATGATAACAACATTCTTGCCATCAGGGAAACTATGCTCTGTAAGGACAGCACGACCTTCAGCATCTAAAGCTTCTAACTCTTCAGAAGTGAAGTCAGAGGTGCTACCATAGCAGCCTATAGAGGGCTGTGGGGTAAGGGAAGCTGAGAGGCCCTCTTCTGCAGCAACAGGTGTCACTGAATCACGGCAAAATGTGGCCACACCTTTTAACATAATTGAATTAGTTATCTAACATTAATACATGTGTACAGCAATCCTTCTAATCAGTACTGTAAATGATTTAATAGATGCTGGGGTCATTTCTTTATTTTGGAGGTCTAAGGCTACAGGGGGCACTTTAAAAAGAAAGGAATTTATTTTCATTTTTGTAACATCCTCTACATAAACTAATATCCTATTGGCAAATATATCAAGAGAGCTTGTTAACAGTGGAATATCTTGTACATCAGCTATCCATATCACTCTTTCAACTCTCAATCAATGCGCAATGCACAAACTTTTTTTTCTCTTTTTGACAGCAAGAAACAGAAAAAAAATTATTGAGTGATAATAATAATAATAACAGAAGAATACCTCTGTTATTTACCCTTGGCAGTATTTATAGCACTACTGCTAGTGGGGGGTGAGCCTTTCTTCAGGTCAAATCCTTCCTGGCTGATGACTTTCATGAAAAATGAATATAAACCACTGACAAAATTAGTTGAGACACTTAACGCTCAAGAGCCTTTCTGACGTTTTGAATGTTTCAATTGTGGACTCCAAAAGGCAAAAATGAAGCTTTCCTCACCCACCCTTCCACTTAATAGTGTACTGTTCCACTGTTTGAGCAATTAACAGTGCAACGTTGGATGGAGAAGAAGGGGAGGGGTGTGGATTGTTTGGTTCTCTGAAGTAACCCATTTAAGGAGTGACTGTGTCTTCAAGTAAAAGAAAAAATCCCAGTCTTTAAGTTGCTGGTATTCGAGCAGAGCAACAAATTGAAATGCTTTCACTTATGCCTCACCTGAGTAGCCTGTTTTAACTTTGGAGAAGCTAAAATAGGCATTGTATCCATCTACAATAGCAGTTACTTCATCCAGCATTTCACCTGGAAAATACCAACAATAACTTGAGTGAAATTTATAAGCATTGCCAAATGGCACCCATTGATAAGTGTAGGCTGTAAAATCACGAATCCCGTGACTGTTTGTGGACTCATAAAGGATGCCAACGTGTGTCGTGTCCTTTGAATCTCTGAGTGAAGTGTTAGCTAATTGTTTCTATCAAACAAAGATAATTCAACTTCATCGCGAGAAACTTTCATGCTACCCTCCTTTTTGGAGGAACTGCATTCGCTCAACTTGTAACTTATTTTGACTCTAATGAAACATTTCAATAGGCGTCATTCCGTAGTGTCATCAATCCTAAGTTACCAGGTAAGAAGGTAATAGAATAGTCTAGCATCTGGTCAGACTGGTCAGAGAACTCCCAACCCCACCCAATGTCACGTTGAAAAACTGAGCCTAAACCAAGCAGTTCTTAAACCTGGGAAAGGGGGGCTACTGCCATAAATGGGCTATATCGATGTGTGCTGCTGTGAGGGCTATGGTATTTATTAATAAGCAGTTTAGTCTGGTATAAAATTTGGGTCTAGAATAAGGTATATTTTTTCAGGAAGCTGATCAATTGGTTAAAGACGTTAATTTAGACTTGATAAACTGGAAACTGACTGGTACAAAAATGAAAACACAAATTCAAATTTACCCTCAACTCAGTTTAACAGCAAAGAAAACATTGATAGATGGAAAATAGTCACTGTAGTACAGGGAGGGGTATTAAGAGTGTAGTCAAGTACAGGTCAGCAAAATTGAACTGAACTAGCTCTGGTATAGGTTCCGGGATCCCAGCGGCACATCCCCACCCGAAAAAAAAAACCTAAATTCCCCCCCCCCCCCCCCCCCCCCCCCCCCCAACCCCCCCCGCTCCCCATCCGGTGGAAAAAAAAAATATTAACCCCCCCCCCCACGTCAAAAACGAAATTTTAAAACCCCATTTCAAATTTGGGCCTGTTTAAAAAAAAATCACACTTCCCAAAAAAGAACAACACACACCCAAAAAATAAATACACAACACCCCCAATTCTAGGTCTACCAAAGGGTTTGATAATATAGGGGAGCCAAAATGTACCGGAGTAGGTCTGGGTTAGGGGCCCGGATCCCCCCGGGACAACCCCCCCCCAAAAAAAAAACCCAAACTCCCCCCCCCCCCATCCCCCACCCCCCACAACCCCCTCGGGTTTCCAATGGGTCAGAACAAAACTTTATGAGCCCATGCCTGCAGTCAAATGTCAATTTTGCAAGACCCATTTCAAATGTGGGCCATTTGAAAGAAAGCTTCACTTTCCCAAAAGACCAAGTAACAACCGAATGATATTAATTAACAGGACCCTTCATTAAGGTTATCACTCACGGGTAACTTTCGTTTCTTGCAAACAAATAACATCAGCATCAAGAGAGTCTAAGACTTCCTTCAACGATTTGTCTCTTCGAGCGGCACGAATTCCGTTGATATTCCACGTCAAAATCTTCATTTCTTTCCAATCAAGTGAATAGAAACAATTCTCACGATATTCCCGCGTTCGAAATGGATCAACCGATAATTGTGTCAGCGGTTGCCAGATATGCACAATTTTCCTTGTGTTTCAGGGCTCGAGGTGTCTAGTCCTGAGAGAGAAAAGAACTGAGAATATAAAAGTTTCGAAATTTCAAATAGGAAAGGGGAAGAGAATAAAGAGTTGAAAATAAATGAAAGACGTTCTGGCCAATCTCGCACTTCTTTGCTTTTCTGCCTTCTCTGTCAGCTGCACAGCAGTGCTGAACAAAACACTCGCATGGCAAAGGGGTTTTCCGTGACGCGTGATGGGTGACAAATTATCAGCGTGATGCATGATCGGGCACAAATTAGCCATGTGAGGCGTGATTGGGTACAGCTGCCTATTTAGCTAGGCGGTGCCTGATTGGTGAATATCATTTGAAACCTGAAGGACAGACATTAAAACAGATTTTCAGGTCATCATTTTCTTTTCTACCCAAAGAGGACCCTGAAAGCACTATATTAGAGCTGATTCATTCAAGGGTTGATATGTTGCCATGTTAACTTACTGCAATTGCGCCTCATTTCCACACACAACTGTGTACTGTACTACCTGCCCTGGCAACAAAAGTTCCAAGGTATCTTGGGATCATATTTTCATGTTGGTTTGTTTTCTCCAGAGGCATTTTTGTCGTTCTCATTGACATCAACACAGCGCACAGTGTTCACTTAACTAAAGGTTACTGTATCCAGTGAGGTAGCTGTAAGCCTGGGGGGTGGGGTGGGATGATATACACTCTTGGGAATCTTTGAAGAGGGTGTGCTGCATGGCTAGTTCAAATCCTGACAATATTTCAGACCAAAAAAGTTCATTTTCCACACCTATTTTCAGACCCGGGGGGGGAGGTTGGCGAGTTGTTTAAACGTTGGATAGTGCTATCCATCGGATAAATCACTATCAGCTACTATCCAGCGGATTAGTATTAGGGAAGCTAATTGCTATCCGGCATTTCAACAACCGCCGCTAAGAAATCGTGTCATCATTTCTTAGATTGGAACCCCACTAAAAAGATTTCTTGAACCCCATTTCAAATTGGTATAAAACTCTTTCTTTCGTATTCATTTTAATTGACAAGATAAATACGTGTAGACTTTCCCGTAGTTCTCTGAAAATCCATACCCGATTCCAGACCAAATTAGGCAGAAAGTGTACACCCATTTTCAGACCCAAGCGATACAAAAACTATATACCCTTTGCTGGGGGCGGGCGGGGGGGAAGGGTCCACATGGCTCGAAGATATTAGCACTTGAGTGCTACACTGTAAATTCGAGGGTAAATAAAGTTTATTGATTGATTGATTGATTGATGACACTGCCTACATGTAAATGGATTATGTAAGAGAGTAACCCAGGATTGGAAAGCAGTCTATAATCATGTACTTTCCCTTCGAAGGGACTATTATGAGAGTTACTGTTTTCGTTTATCATCATCATCATCAGAATCACCGCCATCAACATCAATAAGGCCATCATCATCGCCCTTGTAATATTTTTATTGACAAAGGTGCAAAAGTTACATTTTTTGACATTTTTATGTCACTGCGATAAAATGAAGTGATTTTATATTCTTAGTTACATAACTACACGTTTAAACATTCATAATCGTTAGCCGGTTGAATATTTTCACTGAGGGGTTTCTTGCCGGAATCCTAGTGTAGACAAGAGAATTGGAGAATGCATCGTTATTAAATTCAATGGTGAAAACTTCAATATTCAGAGCTCATTTTCGTCCGAGACAACAGGAAACTTCTCTTCATCGATCTCTGTTTGATTTCGTTTCATGGTTGCAACGCGACATATCGGGTCATCTGGTCCGACAGGATACTTGTTCGACCAGTATAAGTAATACACCCAAACGTTCATCTTGGTGAACTTCGTCAGCTGTAAATAAATAAATAAATAAATAACTTAAGATTTGGAGGTAGCACATCCACAAAGTGGTTCTTCGTCTACCTGATTCCTGGTTGAATTGGAATTTGAAAATGTTGGTTTTTGAGAAAGAGAGGAAAACCGGAGTACCCGGAGAAAAACCTCTCGGAGCGAAGGAGAGAACCAACAACAAACTTAACCCACATATGGAAAGAAAAAGACATCAAAGTCCTAATAAAAACTTTTTTTTTTTGTAATGTTACCGTTATGAGCTCGAAATAAATGACTGATTTTGTTTTGCCAGTTTGTTTGTTTGTATTGCATTATGTTGTTGTTTGTTGTTGTTTTTTTTAAGTAATCGTATATTTGACAAATTCTCATTTGTTATTTTTTTCGGTATATGATACGTTTAAAATCAGTCCATCCCCTAGGAAATTAACCTGCGAGCAAGTTCTCGGTATTTGGGGGATATCGTGAAAAGTAGACGTGCGAGAGGCACGCGAGAGGAGACGCGAAAGCGGGGGTTGGCGTGGGGGGGGG